GTTTCTACTACACAATAGACCAGAAAATAATGTTTACAATTAAAATTTGTATTTGTTATTAGTGATCTAAAAGATTAAAATTCTGATAAATAAGGTATAAGATTATTATATGTCAGGACTTCGTGGGGTGGATTAGTAGTAAACTGAACAACTTTTACTATGGGAGCAATACTGAATTCACGAAAAATAATCAGCTGTTTCACACTGTCAACGGTTGTAGTTGTTATAGTTTTGTATGAATCAGATAATTATTTTTTCCTGACTATAATTTTTCTTTTTTTTTTTATTATTCTCTCGGTTGCTTGGAAGAGATTCAGCTTAGCAATAAGGCTGTCTTTTGTATTGTTTGTATTGTTATACCGTTTTATTATTTAGTCCCACTAGGTTTCAAGTAGCTCAATGGTTGGAATACTTGCTCGGATTGCGAAAGATTGTCGGTTTAAGTCCCACCTCGGGCAGTGGTGAATTTTTAAGCATATCCCTTTAAGGTGAATAGAATCTAAATTTATGGGTACTTAAAATTTATAAATTTTACGGTAACAATAATGGTTGCTAAAATATGTGAATACGTGTACATACATACGCTTGCATTAGCATGAAAACTGCCAGTTTATTATAAAAAAAAAGGAAATGGTCACGAAACTAGTGTTTGGGCAATAGATTTGATATCGATATTAATGGTTTTAAATAACAATCATAACATCGATAGGACTCTTTATTAGAAATTTTAATAATTACCTTTTTTTAGAAATTTCAATAATTAATTTTAAATTAATTTTTCACGATGGCGGAATACAACAGCTGGAGTTCCGCAGGGTGACATTTTGTCTCCTCTCCTATTCTCCATTATCATAATTTTTATCACTCTCATTACTTCCATCTCATGTATACATATTTTATAGATGTTTTATAAATTACAACTTGAGCTTCTATAGATGAACTACCTAAAACAGTAACAATGAAAGTCGAGAAAGAAAAACAATCGAGAACAGTCAAGTAGAAGTAATTACTTGAGTATAAGTAATAATTTCAGTTGATATTCTTAAATTATTACTTATTATTAAGTAAACGAATGTAAAAATCTTTATTGCGTAGTCCCTTTATCTGCTACTGCTTGATTTTGCTGATATATGTTACTCTGATATTTATATTGGCTCTACGTAAATACAATCATATCTCCAATTATCATCGTCAACTTTATAGCTACCTATTTCTCGTAGAAGAGACTATTTCATATCTGGTTTTCATTCTTTTTCATCCATATACTCCCCTTTTTAATAAAGAGCGCTTTGTCTTTCACTCTTATAACCAATCCGTTATCCCATCCCACTCTCCTGATTTCATGTCCGTTTGTATGTATATTTATTTAATGTATTACTTTTTAGTACAATAAACTGCACTCATTCATTAAACCACACATCATTTGAAATCAGAAAGAAAGAAAACATTTTCTACAATTGATTTTGAAAAAATATTATATCAAACTATCGATATCATCGATTTAGGTATAGGGACAGGACAGATCCGTTGATTCAACAATACTGCACGGAATACATTGGATTTGCATAGAAATTAACGGCTATCAAGAATGTATAGAAAGCATTTTAGCTACGAATATAGGTACTTGACGCGGTCACACGATACTCAATTTATTTTTCATTTTACGTAATTGGATATTGCATTTGGAATTCAATTTTGTGCCTCTTATCGACACAGCAGTAATAGCTAAGTGATCCCGGCATATCAAATTACACTTGACAAAATGGAAATTAACTTGGCTTATTTATATTGGTCGATAGTCCGCTTGCGAAATGTGAGTGATTACTATTACCCATTTTAAATCAGGCTCATAAAAATCGTTATACAAAATAGCTATGAAAATTCCATACACTAATATTTTCTTTACTAAATGCCACATAAGACATAAGTAAAGTCTCATAATAAAACCTAGGTATAAATCAAAATCAAATCCAATATGTTTATTCAGTAAAGCCTATCATCACATCCTAGTAGGCATACTAAATATCTGTATCTTCCGTAGCTTAAATAAATTTAAACAACTTTAATTTATAAATCGAGCATTACTTCGCTACCTCCGGAGAATAATATGACAAAAACGATTGTCATGTTTTTAGTGTTATTGCAGTTTTGAGCTCCTCGTGGTCCAATACACCTTGTGATTTTTTTCCAGATATTTCCTACGAGTATTTACAAAGATACAAAATATTAGCATGATATTCAACGAATTAATTGTTTTTATTTATGCCTAGAACAACAATATTTAATACATTAGCAATATAAATATAACTGTTGAGGCAGACATTGTTACTTTATCATGTTATTCGCGTAAGAAAATCAGGCGATTGTATTGATATATGCTATTAGCATGGTATTCTTGTACAAACACAACAGTTTAGATAGGTTTCTCCACCGGTTTGACAAAATTTTTCTATATGTAAGTAATAATTTTTTTAGGTATGTTCATCAAACTTAATAATTACCTACAACCATCTACGATTATCTGTCACAATTTATTTCTTTTACGTTTTATCAACAATAAATACGTAAACAGACGTGAACTTATTACATAATTATCTAAGAAAAATATTGTTTTAAACATTAAGCTAAAAAAAGTATTATAGTGACAATGGCAATTTATAGTGCAACACACTTCAGCAGAACCTATAAAACGTATGACATTAGACCGCAAGAATAATATAATTCAAAGCGTAAAATACTATTTACCCATAAATAACACAAAATTACAAGTATATAGACTATTTTTCAAAAATACATTGAATGCGAAATTTCTAAAGCAGTATATATAGTTTGATGTGTTATCAAACTATATATACTGCTTTAGAAAAAGCTCAATCTGCAGATAGTTTTCATGACCAAAGAGGACGTCATAAAAATAGACTGCGCCGCATGACTACGTATACTGAAGACAGTATAAAGAAACATATTGAACTATTCCCCACAATTGAATCACATTATGTCAGAGAAAAATCCCAAAAACTGTATCTTTCATCATATTTAAATATTTCAAAAATTTTTCGTTTTAATAAAGATTGGTTCAAGAATCAAAATTACGATGAAGACATAGAGATGGGAACACTAAGACTAAGACCAAACTGTGTTTAATACTCAGTACAATTACTCGTTTTTTGTGCCCAAAAAAGATTTATGCGGTAAGTGTGAATTATATGAACAAGCTGATGATGACAAGAAACAATTGTTGCAAGAAGATTATGTTAAATATATAAAAAAAAAAACAAAGAAAGAGCTCATAAATTGAAAGAGGAAGAAAAGAAGAACCTTGATCATAATAAAAGTACAGTTGCAATTTTCGATTTGGAGAAGGTATTGTGTATACCACAATCTCAAGTAGAAATATTCCACTACAAAAGAAAATATCCAATTTACAATTTTACTGTCTGTAACTCAGTGCTCCGACAAGGATTCTGTTACGTGTAGCACTATCAACTAGAAAAAAGAGGAGCAATTGAAATTGGCAGTTGCTTGTGGCAGTTTTTGAACACTGAACATGAACGTGGCATTGAACATATTTCCTTTTATTCTGATGATTGTGCAGGCCAAAATAAGAATAAATTCATATTTGCTCTTTAAATTAAATATCACACATCGATTCTTTGAAACTGGACACGGGCAAAACGAGGCTGACAGTATGCTCTCTTGCGTAGAAAGAGAAATCAAAAATAAAAAGATATACACCCCAGACCAAATGTATGCTTTAATTCAAAATGCAAAGGCTACCGGCAAAAAATTTTTAGTTAAAGAAATGGAACAGTCCAATTTCTATGACATTAAAGTTCTTGACGCGGGAAAACATTGGGTGCGAGAAGTACAAGGCAATAAAATTTTATGGCCTAAAGTGATGGAAGTTAGCTGTTAAGCAACGAACCAAAGATTTTACGCTATAAGTATGATTTTGATATTATTTTCATTTTAAACACAGAAGTTTCATCAAGAGTTATGGGACGAGTCGGCCGTGGTCGAAAAACTGCAGCAGCTCATTTTAAGTCATAAATTGCAGCAACTGCAATTTATGATGTTGAAGACTTAAAATGTGCTTACAGTAAACTGATTCCAGTTACTAAAGCTTTATACAACGATTTAAAGAGTTTGTGTTCATGTGAGGCTATACCTCGGCACTATTATTCATTCTATACGTATTTGATATCGACTAGTGTTGCCCAAATGCAAGAACAAGACGAGACTTGGCCAGTCTTGGTCTTGGTCTTGCGCCAATACACCTGGTCTTGGTCTTGGTCTTGGTCTTGCGCTCCCAGTCTTGGTCTTGGTCTTGGTCTTGCAGCAAGAGTCTTGCAAGTCTTGCAATTACCTACCTATTAGGTATGTATTACTACCTATTAGGCTATTGCTATTTATTAAAGTTTACTTTAGATCTTAGGAATTAACATAGCCGTAGTAAAGAACAATCAGATTAATAAATGTCTGAAGATTTGATAAAAATTCCATTACTGCCACATGGTTATCAACTGAGCTATACGCCGTTTTCCATGGGAGTAACTGTTTCTTAATAAACATTTACGCTTTATAAGCTTACATGTGCTAAAACATGTAAAAAACAAATTATTTATAATAAATTGACTGTATTTTAAAGAATCTCTCTAGAAAGAGATTGAACCCTCAACTTATATGAAATTTAATTAAAGAGTTTTACGATTTATCATTTATTTCAATAAAAAATAAAATATCGTACAACACAAATCAAATAACACAATAGTACACAACAGCTTTGTCATTAGGTTCTGTTACTTTATATCAATTCTTTTGACCAAGAATTAATACAAAGTAACCATCTGGCTGACTCATCACTTAACCTATTTCTATGTTTTCTAATTACTAATGATGCTTTAGAAAATAATTTCTCAGCAGGTACTGAAGTTGCAGATATTAAGAGAAAATCACGGGCCATCTTCGATAAAGTCGGATACTCTGTCTGCATGCGTCGTCTACCAATCTAAAATGTCTTCCGAGCTGGCAGCTCTTGGTTTTCTCAGGTACTCCTCCAACTCGTCTATCACTAAGCCTTGAAGACAAGATCCAGATGACGTCGAGGGACATTCACACAGTTTATCAAAGTCTATTACGTCTTCATCTTCATTACATACCTTATTTTCTTTTCTTGGTAATTCCAGAGATTTGTTCAATGAGTGTAGACTGTAGTATTCTTCATAAAGTTCATTGAACTTGCGCAGGCTTTCTGTTTTAAGTTGCTTCACCCATATTGTCAGGTCAAAAGTCTGAGCCTTAGCCTTCGGTCTAAAATTAAAGAAGTACAATAAATCCAGTTGGTCTTCTTATAATGTTTAAGCATTTTGTCTCGAGCTGCTTGGAAAGCCAGAATAAGCCTTTCATCCACTTCAGATCGATTAGGTTTCTCATCTAACTGTTTTACCGTGGATTCAATTTTATCGAGCAAGAGATTGAACGATACAATGACTAGCGGTAATGAAACATATTTTTCTCCACCAAGTTTTGTATATTAAAAGTTTAAAGTTTATTAGAAACTTATGTATTTTTTCGAGTATTTGCCATTCACTAGCTGTGATTTGAAAATCATTCAATTCGGTGACAGAACTGCACAATATGTTAATGCCCGCTCTCACTTTTAAACCAAATCCAATCATATCATGTGTGGAATTCCATCTCGTTGGACAGTTAAGAATGGGATTCAGATTTGATGGCACGACAGCTGCTTCACAAGCAGACTGAAACTTCTTCTTCACTATTTCACTTCTTTTTATTTTGCTGGGAATACTGCGTAACTTTATTACAGATGTACGCGAGTTAGCAATATTTGGTGCATATTCTTCATCTTCCTCAGTTTCGTCTGCATAGTCTTCATACTGCTGATCTTGCGCGTTAGTGTCAGTCTCACAGTGTAATGCTAAGGTCTTTTATAAATCTTGTACACCAAGGTTTTAAATGTGAGCAAAGCACCGGAAATGTTGATTGTCTGAATCAAAGTGTGGTGGCAACTGTTTGCCTAGTTCATACATAAATTTAGTATTTGCAGTTGCGTTGTCGACCGTGATACCTTGTATTTTATCAATTATGTCATATTCCAATAAACATTCGTGGAAAATCGTTGCAATATCTTGCCCAATATGTCGACTGCGTGATGGTATAAAATCAAGAACTACAGATCGATACTTCCATTCGTTGTCTATATAATGCATAGTAACCCCGTAGTAACTCCTACCAGCAATTGACGTCCACCCATCAATGGTAAACGACATTTTAGATGATAATTGTTGAAGTCGTTCCTTGAGATTCAATTGGAGCTCTTCAAATGGCTCTTTGACTTTCCTTCTAAGTGTGGACCTTGTCACTACTGTTTTCCGACTTAAATAAAACAATAAATCTTGTGTTATTATTTAAAACATACTAGGTTTGAGCGTTTAGGAGGAGGAGGTTTGTTGTTGTTAAACCTAAGTTGTACTGTAATTTATCAAAATAAAGTACTTAGTTGTTACAGGCCGATTATGAAAACAAATGAAAATATGGGTGCTTTATAAAAAAATATTTAACACGATAATTACATACTTAATATGTGTTATGTAATTGTGAGATAAGTAAATTTATTCTTACCTGTCCACTTCTTCCAGCAGTTACGAAAAAGCTTGCGATATCTCCGTTTAATTTTGGTTTAACAGGAAGAAATATTTGTGATTCCTTTTTGTGGAAAGATATTATATGTTTCCTTAAGCCTGAAGTGTTATTATACACCGAACTGTTATTCCTAACTACTCCGTGAAATAGCGCTAAGTCCTAGCTGCAAGACGCAAGAGTTTTGCGGGATTAGTCTTGTTCTTGCTGAAGTCTTGCATGGTCAGTCTTGGTCTTAGTCTTGCTAAAAATACTCGGTCTTGTTCTTGGTCTTGGTCTTGCAAAAATGCAAGACCAAGACCAAGACTGAATTTGGGCAACACTAATATCGACAGATCAAGAAGTATTATCATCAGAAGAGAAGGACGAATTACCCTAGTTATAAAAGTCCCATAGTTTGATTCCCATGATGAGTCCCATGATGATTGATCCAATTATAATTAATAAATCATATTTTGATAATTTTCTTTTTAATTTAGAAGTTTTTGTTTTTAGTTTGATAATTAAAAAAAAAATTTGAAGTTTTTGTTTTTATTCATCAAAAGATTATTATTAGCCCTGGATATTTTTTTAAAATTACCCTTAATAACATTCTAATCGACTATTAGCACATACTCTCTCTCAGGTTATTTTACCAGAATAACATGACAATAGTTTATTATTGTAAAACATTTTAAGTGTCATTTTACTAGAATAACATGACAATAGCGTATTATTTTAAAACATTTTAGGAAGGATTTTTGCTAATATTTATTTTTTCGATTCTTTCGATTCTTGTCAGTGCTTTTCCGCGAAACATAATTCACATTGTTACGCAAAAAAATTAGCTTTCATTTGATATATCATTCTTCGAGATAGCATTTCAAACAAAGGAGTTATTAAACAAAATCGGTTTTTTATTTTTCCTGAACTTTTTGGTTTTTGCAGTTATCATATTATTATCCGGAGGTAGCGACATATATTTTTCTTGGTCTTATATCAAGAAACATTAGTTATATGATTTCCAAAATCAATTTTTAACAGTTTACTCAATTATATTACAATAAAAGTTTACTAAATAAACTCATCAAAAATAATTGTGGTACACTGATAACAACTCTTTGAAGGCAGGCAGACATGAGCGCACGCGACTCTTGATGGTGAGTGAGTATACATATAAACGATCTCTCGCTCAGTAATAAGTCTATTTTTAAGTGTGTGCTTCATAACCCTCAAATCAAAGGTGAGTTTTGAGTTTTGCATTGAACATTATTTCTGGGTTGAAAATCTAGTTCTTAACCTAATGTGTTAAAATATTTTTATTCTATTTTAATAAAGGTGAAATAGATATTTAAGGAAATTTCTATCGTTTAATGCTATACTTAAAGTAATAACATTATTTATAAATAATTATATTGAAACAAAACCGTACCTACAGTAAAACAATTTTAACCCATAGAAATTATATTCATAATCCACTTATAATTTTCTAATATATTTGCATATATTGAACTGCATTCTCCATCGCTATTCTTGGTACAGGTGCCTGCTGATATAACACCAGCTAGTCGGCCATTGACCACAACTGGCCCTCCAGAATCTCCTTTCCCCGTTGCTGTTATATCCAATGAACATAAAACTGCACTCTCATCACCACAATAGTGCAACCGCACTTTCCCTTCAATAGGGAAATTAGCCGCAGTTTCTGATTCCCCGTATCCAGTAATCGTAGCCAAATCGTTATTTACAATCGGTGAACGCATAAGCTTGATTGGTTTCACGTATATGCCAAACGTAATCGGCCTTTTAGTTTTCAATAAACCAATATCGTGAGCGGATTCATCATTATGAAAAATAATACCATCCGTATGTTTATAATAAGGATGTATAAAAATATTTTGCATCTTAGCGATAACTTTTTCATTTCCATCTTTGAAATGTAAAACATCGACGCTTTCTGGTATCGGAGTAAAACAATGAGCGGCTGAAATAATCCAAAAGTTATTTAAAATAGAACCACTGCAGGTTTTGAACTCAATAAAGTAGTGGCTTATTAACCTCACTAAGTATTTGTGACTGTTAATATCGGAGGGTCTTCCACCGAAAATTCGTGGATTTATAGAAGATGATACCGATTTTGTATAACTAATAGCCACGAAACACAACAAAAAACTCTTTGTAGAAACCATTATTGTAACCGAAGCAAAAAAGAAAGTAAATAATTATAAAATAATGACAGCCGTTATATAACTGTGAAATGTTTTAAAGAAATTATAATAATGTCAATAAATAGGTAGTTATTTATATGGTATGCAAAAACAATATTTATTGCTGTTAATAATACATCGTATGTGATCAAAGAATGTCCTGTCGTTTCACCCGACGTTTCTATTCTTTGAGTCGACTCATAAGGATCATGTTGTAATAAAGACTGTTTCATGTTGTATTACTAGCATATAATTGATATGATTTTATTAATTCTATTTTTGTATCCTTTTACTTGTCATAATTACTTGTTTACTCCTTTAGAAACATTCAAAGTTTTAAACATATTTTGTCTTTCATCTTTCATTTAAATATTTTAACACGTTATCAGCACGAAGTGCTTGATGAAATAAGATTAATTTGTGTATAAATGTAAGCAGTGTATGATTTTCACCAGTTTATCGAAAAAGTGATGAACTTCGGAATTCGAAAAAAAATGAGTAGCAGGTGAGATGGTGTATCTCCAAGTATAAGAAGCACAATATCAATCGGAGGGATTCGTAGCCTCTCAGGTAGTGATGGTTATAGCACATGAAAATTTAAGAGGAGATTCTATCTGATTCATGAAAATTTATGGGAAGCTGTAGTAAGTTATGCCAACGATGATGGCACCCCGGAGGTAACAAGAAGACGCAGGGATGAATTAGCACTTGCAAAAAAATGTATGGAGGAGCCATTACTCACGTGAGGAGTGCTGACAGTGCTAAAAGCGCTTGGACTTCAATGCAGAATGCTTATGAAGATAAAGGAAAAGACAGAAAGTTATCTTTAGGGTGAAAACTATACCGATTGTGCCTCGAAGAGTTCAACACTATTGAGGAATAAATTAGGTCTTTACATATAAAATTGCCATTCTGCCGTACTGGCCATTTCAAATCAAAATATTTTTTTGGCTATTAATTCTAATTTCAAATTAATTTTATTTTAAAACCATGATTTTATTTTTTCTAAAGTCGTCACTTATTACATAGATCGTGTTTTATTTTCGAAGCATTCTATCTTTTTCGTCGTCATGGATAAGTTAAAAATTCGAGTAATTATGGAGCATGAGTACCGTCGTGGCAGCAAAGCGGCACAAGCGGCACGCAACATCAACGTTTACGGAGCGAACACTATAAACGAACGCACTACCCGTTATTGGTTTGCTCGCTTCCATTCTGAAAATTTTGACCTGAAAAATGAACCCCGTGGTTGTCCGAAAACTTTGGTCGACAATGACGAATTAAAGGCGATTGTGGAAGCTGATAAAACTCAATTATCGCTGAATTAGCAGCAGCTTTCGGCGTTAGCATCAAAAGAATATTGGTCAATTTGCGTCAAATCGGCAAGGTAAAAATCTTGAAAAATGTGAACCCCACGAAGTCAATGATCGCCAGCGCGAAGTACGCGTCAAGTCGTGCCTTGAACTGCTCAACGGGCATACAAATGAAGGGATTCTGAACCCCATTGTTACTGGTTTGGTTTATTGATTTGGTTTGTTTGTGAACCGCATTGTTATTGGTTGGACCCTGGTTCAGCACCCAAACAATGCCTTAAACGAACTTACCCCTAGAAAAGTGATGGTCACTGTTTGGTGGTCTAACGAGGGTGTAATTCATCACAGCTTCTTACCAAACAGGACGAGCATTACTACAGATGTGTCCCGTGTCTGCCTTCCGGCTACATCATCATTCAGGTCACAGCCCATATAGCAAAGTATATTTATGTAAAATTTCAGCTCTACCGTAAACAGATTTTTTAAGAAACATCATCACCAGCCTATTAATGTCCCCACTGCTAAGACTCAGGCCTTCCCTATGGATGGAATAGAATGAAGTCGAATAGGGAGAATGTATTATGGCCCACCACGCGGGCGCAGTGCGGATTGGTGGGTATTAACGACTGCAATTGCAACCGGAACTAACGGCTTAACGTACCTTCCGAAGCCCGGTTGAACTCGAAGTAATAAATTTTTGGTCACCATCTTATGATTGTGAAAGTTGCCTAACAACCTTACCGCAACCTTAACATCGAACTCCAATGGTTCATAACATCATTTTTTTTATCTTCTTCTTCTTCTCAGTCCCAACTCTTAGCAGAGTGTTCTTAGTACAGTCACACAGTATCTGCTGAAGTGGCCAATGTCCCATCACGACTTCTCGCCATCTCTTCATGTCCATCGATATATAATTTTGTTTATATATTAGTACCAATTCTGATGTACCATTCACTTAACAAATTTCTAACTTTAGTTTGGGTTTGTTTTAACATTATTTTTTAATAATATGTCGTCAAAGGAGTATGTTATATGCTAAGCACGTTTACCGCACAGGTAAAGATAACAGATGACATCCGACATGGTATGGAAAATCAGCAGCTAACGCTATTAACATTACTTGACTTTAGTAGCGCATTCAACTCGGTCGACTTCGACATCCTCCTTGGTATACATATCTCCAGCAGTAATGGTATGGTTTCAAAGTTACCTGCTAGAGCGTCGGCAACGCATCTATAAGACAACTTCTCCTCGGTGGTGCACTATAAATGTCGGAGTTCCTCAGGGTGGTGTCGTATCTCCTACTCTCTTTTCTATATTTATAAATTCCATCACATAATCACTTTCTAGTTCCTATCACCTCTATGCTGATGATCTTCAAATTTATATCCATGCATCGTTGATGAATCTTCCCGATGCAGTGGTAGTTACCAATTCCGATCTCTCTCAAATTTCTAATTGCAGTAAATCATTTGGTCTTACTGTCAACCCATCGAAGAATCAAACAATAATAATTGGCAGTCTTCATTTCGTTTCGAGAATCAATTTCGAACATTTGCATTCTGTTACATTTGACGGCACTATCATACCATATTCAAAATCCTTTAAGAACCACGGTGTGATTTTTGACTAATGCCTTTCTTGGAAGCCTCACTTAGGAAGTGAATGTTTGCCGTCTATGGCTCACTCAACTGTCTGCGCAACTTTTTACCCACACACACGAAAACTGCCCTGGCTCATACCCTCTTGCTTTCAATCCTTGACTACGTTGATGTTTGTTACACTGATTTTTCGGAAGAGTTTTTTGACAAGCTGAAGCATATGCAGAACTTGGGTATCCGATTCATCTTCAATCTCCGCAAATATGACCATGTATCATAATTCCGCTCCAAACTAAACTGGCTCCCTTTTCGCCTGCGCAGAGACTTACATACTCTTACGCTCCTCTATTCCATCTTTTTCCTTACCTAAAAAAAATGCTTTTCTTTCCGAACCTCCTCTTCACAGTGTACTCTACGCTCATCTTTAAGCAACCCTTAATATTCCTCGTCATACTTCCGACTTATTATCCTACTCATTATCTGTGCATACGGTACGTCTTTGGAATTCGTTACCTGAAGTGATAAGAAAGGCTCGCACCTTACATTGTTTCATTGTAAAAGTGAAAACATACTTCCTTGAAAACTGTTAATATGTTTAATGATTCTTTATCAATTTATTTATTATACTAGCTGTGCCCGCAACTTCGTCTGCGTGGGAAGTATTTTGGTAGAATTCTTTTATTCCTATGAATGGAGTCGAATCGAATAAGATCAATGGGCCATAACCCACTGTGCTTAATGCGGATCGGTGGGTGTTCACGTTGCTGATGCAGCCAGGACTAACAGCTTAAGGTGCATTGTGCCAGTGCTGTGCACAGTGCTCAAGATAATAATGTTTTGGTCACCCATCCTGTCCTTACGAATGTAATTTTTCTATCTTTTTTCTCGTTTCTCGCGCTCTGGTTGTCGCCTGTGTCTGAGAATTTAATTCGTACCTTGAAACTGTCCTTCTTTTGTTTTTGATATTTTAAAATTATTATAATTTATCTAGTTGAATGCACAATCAGCTATTTATTGTTCTATTTTCCATGTAATGCTAGGTTGCCTGGAAGAAATCGCTTGCTAGCGATGAGTTTGTCGTTTGTAAAATAAGTATTCATGTATGTCCTTGTTTATTTCACTGCAATTTAAACCGAATGCGCTAACCCACTATGCCATCGGACCTCTTATACCTAAGATATACTTATATTATAAAGCGGAAAGATTTGGTTGTTTGTTTGTTTGCATCGAATTTGCACCAAAACTACTGGACCGATAGTTTCAGAGAGATTCTATCTACGGGAGTCTACATACGGATGTCATAGGCTATAATTTTGCGGGAAAGTTGCGGCTTGTTCATTATACCTTGTGAAAACTTATCTGCGGTACGCCTGTGGAGTATGAGGGCAACACGGGTTGGCGATAATCGAAACTACTTTCTCGATCTCTATTGCACAAACTGCGAGCTCTTTCAGAGACCAAGCGCATTTCTCTAGCAAAGGAAGTTTCATACTCATACCATCCTGCATGTATGTTACGGTTAGCAGTTAGACACGCTATGCGATCTTCAGAAGTTTCCTGAGATCAAACGCTTGTTGTATGAGTTCTCCGAGAGCTCAAGAGAATGTCCCTGACGGTAAATGCTTCAGATTCAACTATATAG